GATATGATGTTTTGAGATATTATCACTTATGTTTTTCTGAGATGATTTGAGTTACTATGGTTTTATATATAAAATAAAAATGAAATTTTTGGACCGTATTTTGGGATGTTTCACTTGTAGTAGAAGAAGGAGGTTAGAGAAGAAGAAGAAGGTGCTAATAAGCTTGAAGATCCAGAAACTTCCAAGCTTTGTGCATCACTTTCAGGTATAAAGTTTATACCTTGGCAAGTGTTCTTCTAGATCTTTTTGGTTTAAGATTTATAAGCTAAAGTCCCAAAGTTTGGACCTTTATGAGTTTGGGACTCTCCAGAGGGTTTAAGCTGTCCTTTCATGCATATTAGGACATTTAGATTCATAAAAATGCTTGCTTGATCTTTCCCTTTGGCTCATACATGAGTAATGTACGTTAGAATGGATGAAGAGATGCTTTGAGCCTTTCCTTGCCATGCAATGGCTTAAAGCCCACGACTTTATGGATTAAGAAGTTATAAACTAGTTAGATATATGGTTGGGTTGGTTGTCTTAAAGGATTAAGACATTAACTTAGTGGAAATAGAGGCTAATGGAGTACGTCGGGCGTACTCCTGGCTACGCACAACCTAGCCTGATCCTTCCCTGATGAATGTTGACCCTGTTGTACGCCCAACTAGGGGTGTAAACGAGCCGAGCCGAGCCCGAGCCTAACCAAGCTCGATCTCGGCTCGTTTAATTCTGAAGAAGCTCGAGCTAGAGCTCGAGCTCGATTCGAGCCTTAAAATGAAGCTCGAGCTCGGCTCGTGAACAATTTAGTGAGCTCGCGAGCCTAAACGAGCTTAAACTAGCCTATATATATATATATATATATATATATATATATATATATATATATATATGTATATATATATGTATATATATATATATATATATATATATATATATATATATATATATATATATATGCGGCTCATTTAGGCTCGCGAGCCCACTAACTAAAGCTCGGCTCGAGCTCGTTTAATAAATAAGCATCATATTTAGGCTCGAGCTCGGCTCGGGCTCGTTTAATTCGATCTCGAGTCGAGCTTTTAACGAGTCGATCCCGAGTAGCTCGGCTCACTTACACCCATACGCCCAACGTAGGGAGTTGTACGCTCAGTGTACGCGTTGAGTGTTGACTTTCGTTTACTTTGACATTTGGTCAAGTTTTTAGGGTTTTGGACCATGAGAAGGGCAAAATGGTCCTTTTGCCCTTAGAGGGTTTAGCCGTGGGATTTGGACTTGCAATTGAGATTTTGACCTTAATTATTAATTAGGGTTAATTATTTTGTTGATTAGGCGAAGTCTAGATCCCGCAGTTCGGGTGCTAGGTTTTCGTGTCGTCAGTATCAGGTGAGTCTCCTCACTTGCTCATACTTGTATGGTAGGATAGTTGTATTTATGATGACCAGCTGAGTCTAGCTGTTATGACTATGTTATGCTATTTATATGTGACTTGGGTTGCTCATAGCTAACCAGGGTTGCTGATAACCTACTAGGCATGATGTTAGCTCATCGGGGCTGTTGATAGTCCTCAGGGTTGTTGATAACCCATAATTGTTTTTGTATGTTGTGTTGCATGTGGTATCTTGGGGAACTCACCAAACTTTGTGTTTATAATTGTTGATTTATATGTGGCAAATACTTCTCAAGCCCGCGAGAAGGCGGATGTTTGATTGTACACACACGCGCTGGGGGATTTACTACTGGGACATGTTTATGAACTCTGATAATTATGATACTGGTTGTTTTGGGATAATTATGTATTTAATAACTTGGTTGTGAAATCCTGATTTTGGTAATTTAAAATTGAAAATTTTGGTCTAAAATTTGAGGTGTTACAATATACATAAATCAAATTAATTGTGATGTTATAATAAATACTTTTAAATAAAAAAATTATATTCATAACACATAAAAAGTTGAACTAAAAAACTACAATTTCCACATATTAAAATTTTAGGTTAATAGTAATATAATAATAATAATAAAATATTAGTATTTTAATATATATATATATATATATATTATATCTATATATATATATATATATATATATATATATATATATATGTGTGTGTGTGGTGTGGGGGGGGGGGGGGGGGAGGGAGGGGTTCTTAAGTTTATGTTTTAATAAATATATTATTCTGTTGTAAAATTTTAAAATATATAAATTTAATATCAAAATAAATTAGATATATAAACATATAAACTTATCGTTGAAGGTGAAATATGTCAAACGAAATTTTAACAAAGTGTTTGATGCAAATAAATAATATTACATCATATTTGAAGTACTATTATGCACAACACAAATTTTATTTTATTTTTGTGAGATAATGAAATTGAGTTAGAGATGATTAATACAATTTTTTAATACAAGAATGTAGTTAAATTTAAAAATAGAATTGGGTTGTAGATGTCATTGCGTCAAATTTTGCAAAACATGGTTATTCTATGATTTGAATTATTGACTGAATATATGTGTTCCAACGATAAATTGAAAGTTTAAGTTTTAGTTGAGGGGACGAAATGTGATTTGTAGGAGTAAAACGGTGTATACTTGTGAAAATGTTCAAAAAAAAAAAGAAAAAAAAAAGGAATCGACATATTGAAAATGGAAGATAGAATTTAACCATTTTTGTGATCGAGTCTATTCAATGACTTTCACCTGCCATTTCTTACACTTCATTGCTTATCTTTGACCATTTACAAGTTTTCCTGTCCCATACGTCAATCACAAAATCACAGAATGGTACCCTCTTTTACTCACAAACTTTTGTGGAAATAGTTAACCCATTTTCATCCCTAAATCTATTCAAATTACCCTTTTAGGCAGGTGATTGGATGCCATGATCATTAAAGGACTTCCATTCAGTTATTTTTAAGTTATGTTAGATGTTTTATAGGAAAATATATAGATATATTAACATTCTACTTAATAAAAACTAAACGAAAATGTCAAACTTAGAAATTTAATTGAAATTCTGTTTTTAGTTATTAATCTTTGCATTAAAAACCTGTAACCAACTTTGACATACCCACCACCAGCCTCTTATTGGCCCCCATCCATGTTTCCGACCAAGCTCGGTAGTAGTGTTCGTGCCAACTTGAGTGCTTAAAAGCCTCCTTTCAAATTTCAATGATTGAGGTTACAAACGTGACTTTAATACCACTAATTTCTTTTATTTGTACTACACCGGTGCATTGGATGAACCCAAAACGTGACTAATGTAAAACAGAGTTCTACAGCCGTTCAAAAAAAAAAAAAAAAAAAAAGTATTTCAACATTTTCCTAATCCACATTGTGGTCGGCATATATTTGTAATTTAAATAAGAAACTTAACCGTTTTTAGTTTGAAAATAAAACACGTTTATGTAATCTAAGCGATAATAATACGATATGGTTAAATTAAAAAGTATTGTAAATATAATTGATAGTGATATCTGTAATTTAGTGGTCCAACTTCATTTTGAAATATAAAATAAATGTTTTTCAAATCGCCCGTCATTCATTTAACTGTGCGTAATTTTATCAAAAGTATGTTGGACCATTAAATCAAAGATATGCCAACAATAACAAATGTGAAAAATTATTACCACTAAAACTCGTATGTTTTAATTTGTTGATAGCTTTATTATTGTAGTTTGCCTTATGTAAAGTTATACTCATAATTTTATTTTTCAAATCGACAGTTAAAAATGTAATTAAAATATCAAATATTTATAGAGCTCCGTATCCATAACACAAATAATCGAGATAACTCATTTATTTGTAATTGTATACTTCCCGATTTGCCTCTAAAGTATAATGACTATAATCGTTATAAGAGAAATGACATCTTAATAAATTCATTTAATTATTTAACTTTTGAAAAGAAAAGGATCAATTTCCAAACCTTGGAATCCAGATGCAACAAACGTATATTATGGAGGACAAAACAATTAAAAAAAAAAGAAAAAAAAAAAGAAAAGCAGCCCGGACTGACTGGGCCAGACCCGGTCCACTAAAACCATGCAAAGCATGATCACGTGTAGCCCAATCCGGTCCAAAAAAACCCGATTAAATCTTGGTCATACTCATAGTGCAAAATACTATAATTAATATGGCCCTTAAATGCCCATGGGCCGGAAGACTCCAGTCAAAGGCAAAAAACTTAAGGCCGAGAAGCTTAAGGCCCTGTATTTTGAAAAACATTTACCATATATAATTTGCTTACTACACTTCTGTTTATGTGCATTTTTATCTATTTATTGACATATGAACATAAATAAATAAATAGGAGCTGATCCGTATAGAATTTTTTTTTCTATACACAACAATTGGTCTAAATAAATATAAAAATCTATAGGTTTATGTTTCCGTGTTTATATACAAGAACTCAGACTTCTCTTTTGTTTAGAATCATGATGTGTGTCCTATCAGCTTCACAAACCACAATTAGCATATGGTTTCATTGTCATTTAGGCGGATTTAAAACTCCCCAATCTTTAAATATCAAGTTTATGAGTAGCAAAAATGATTGATTAAAGAAGGGAACCTAAAAATATACAACAAACGCCATAATCATCCTTCCTACGATCAAAATCTTTAAAAGTTAAATCACATGATACTTATTAATGTTTTTAATCTACCAAAAAAAATTAACTTTCAAGTTCGACATCAAATTTTTAACAACCCCAATAAGACAGAAAAAGAGTCGAATTGATTGAGTAACAAGAATTGCAAGAGAACACATGTTTTTTCAGCATAATCAAAATGAAAATAGGTTCCATTCAAGCAAAATATGAAAATATAGAAATTGAAGATTGCAAGTTGAAATTGAATTTAATCTTGAAGATCAATCATTCAATGTGGGTAAAAAGACCCTAAAAGAATTCTGAAAATTAATCTAATCAGAGGCACTCAATAGCCTGTCTAACCAGTGAATAGAACAATTAAACTCAAAATTAGGTATTCTTAAAACCTGGGCAACAAAACTCTATTATCAAACGCGTGCGACGGCGGGAGCAGCGGCAACGGCAGCAGATGAAGCAGCTCCGCCGAGGAAAGAAAGGAATCCGGCATTAGGCGGTTCTTGATCATCCAGGAAGAGGTCTTCTGGCGCCTTAAATGCTCCATGGACACATAAAATTGCTAATCCGATCAGAAGGGCAGAGATCATCAGCGACCCTACGTTCGTTAAGAAGACAACAATAATCGAGAAAAGGACCAAGAGCACTAGGGTTTCACGGTCGGAGAAGGTGCGTCCGAAGAGGACGAGTGGGTTATCCGAGGGGCGGAAAAGGTAGAAGAATATCCAGGCGGCGAGGAGGCAGAAGAGGACGAGGAGAGAGAAGGGATGGGTGAGGAGAGAAAGGGCGATTACAAAAGCGAGAAGGGCAGTATAGTTGACACGGAAGTAAGAGAAGTTTTTGCGGATGCGTGAGGTGGCTTCCGAGAAGGATTCCGGACGAGAGAGTGTGGAGCGATCGATGAGTTCGTACCATGGGCGGCGTTGGGAGAAGGATTGACGGAGGGAGGAGGACAAGCGGGAGAAGAAAGAGCGGAGAGCGGAGGTGGAGACTGTGTTTGGTTGGGTAGTGGTGGTGGAGATTGAGATGGATGATGGCGGTGCTGCCATCGTGTCACGGCGGTCGTTTGGCGCAGAGGAGGGGGAGCTAATCGGCGGGATTAGGGGTTTCACCTCCGATAGAGAATGTCGTTAAGACCTAATAAGAACTGTTGCGGTTTTTTCAGTTACTACTGTACCCCTGATCTTTTATTTAGTGTCAAGCCTTAACCTTCGGCTCTTATATTTTTGGGATAATCACAAACAATATGGTCCCATTTGATAGGGGAGCTGATCAGTACACAACAATTTTTTGCCATATACAATATTTTTTTGTAGAACGACAATTTTACCCTTTTCTCTATTTTAACAAACTTTACAATCTACCCCTTTAGTCTAAAACCCTTCCAAATATTCAATCACAGAAACAAGGAAACTAGTATTCGCTTCCCGCTATTGATCATTGTTTACCTTCCATCTCCAGTTTGCTTCACCCCATCGCGGCCTCATCCATTGTCGCCGTCAACTGCTCCACCTCTGTTGGCGGCTTGCTCCACAATTACTAGTTTGTGATTTTATATTACGATTCTATTTCTTTGATTTATGGTTTTATATTCATTTATGATATTATGATTTTATATTCAATTCTTGTTTACACCACTGTCGTCGCTGCTATTATGATTATCAATTCAGTTCTATTTTGTGATCTGCGATTGAAAAAGATCAAACCAACCATTTGTTGTTCGCGATTGAAAAAAATCAATTGTTTGCATCACTGCACTGCCGTCACTTCTATTATTATTATTATTATGCATCAATGCTTATATATACCCTAATTTCATCAAATAACCTACTATTTGTCTTGATGTCTTATTTTCGGTAACACTAAAATTCAGTGTTAATCAAGAATATAAATATAAAGTTTAAACAAGAAAGAACATGCACTTTCGGTTATTACTAAACTTGCGGACCAGTTCAAGATTTGAGTTGGTGGAGTCAACACAAAAACGCAACGAGATGGACAATAGAAACAACTTATTTGATTTAAACGTATATCCATTAGATACGTTTGATTTAGACGGTCCTTTTTAAGTCCGTCATAATACTTTTTATTTTTGATTTGGATGGTTATTTTACTCGAACGGTCTTTTCAAATCCGTCATAATAGTTTTTTTATGTGGATGATTATTTGATTGAACGGTTGTTTTATAACATTTATTTGGAAAAAGTTTGTTTATATAGCTAAGTCTTTAATTTTTAAGTTATTATCAATATGTATTTTGTGGTAGGCAAAAATATGTATATAGGAAATAGGACGCAGTGGAAAAATTAGAGGAAACGATAAATTTAAGGTTTTGCATAAAAAAGAATTATATATGGGAGGTATAAATATATTTATATAATGGGAGGGGTAAAAGTGTATAATTGACGAAAAGATTCTAGAAAGAGAGGGAGTAAAATGTAAAAATAAAAATAAGGTTAAATTTGTCTATTTATGAAAAATTGTTGTGTGCGGTCAAAAGTTGTTGTGTACGAATCAACTCTCATTTGATAGGTGTGAATATGTTATAAATTGAACATTATGTAATATATGTTGTTTCAAATTGTGAAATAATTTTTCTACATGATTCCTATCATATTAAATTTCAAAATGAAAACGAAGAAAAATCATATATTCCATAATATACTATATTATTCAAAAAGTATCATAAAATTTTATCGCTCTATATTCATCACTTTAAAGTTTTGCCAAATTATTTATTTTTATATATATGACTCAGAAATGAGTTTCGAACTCGAATAACATTTTTGAAACTCATAATAATTTCAAAACACGATTTTGAAAGTTAGCTGTCTATGTCTGCCTTCTTTATATGTTGGAGGTCGGTCTTTACAGAAAAGATAAATGGTCATCAAATCCATAAGGGAGGGTTTGATGACCATTGTAGCATTCGATAATTGGAACATATATCATATTATTTAGTATTAACTTCATTTTAATTTCAGCATCTCACCCTTTGTCATCTTTTGTTATGTGACAACATGGTATAATCCTCTAGATTTTATCATTGTCAAAACATGGTATGATCGACTGTTGCATCTATAATATAATAGATTAAACAGAAGTAGATGATACAAGATTATATATGAAGTTTGAAAATCAATCAAAACCTTCAACGATGAGCTCAATAGAGAAGATGGATCTAGTGGCTTGTGGTTGAAGCATGTTCCCAGTTAGTAGCCTGTTTCCCGATCTTGTGTAGAGCTTTGATGACTTGTTGGCTTGTCACGTTTCCTGTAACAGTCACCTTGTTCAGTCCTGTATCAACATCATATGTCTCGATATCTGCTCAATCAGAACATTAATCTCTATGAATCCATCTCACACAGAAGCAACAATGATGATAATTGATTATGTTAATTGTTTTACCTTCGATCTTCTTGATGGCTTTTAAGATCATCTTGATGCAATCTTCACAGTGTAAACCTACCTTCAATTGTACTACCTGATTCATGAAACATTAGCAACAGCCATCATACATTTATGATGAAATCATGTAAATGAAAAATGATTACTCACGTTTCCCATTTGATTTGGTTGAAGGGTCTTCTGGATTTAGAAATCTGAAGATTTGAGGTTGGAATTGGATTCGGTGGGAACTAAAGAAGCAACTTTGGTAAAGTTACCTCGTGATGTGTGTTAAAGGTGTTAGATGGGCACAAATTACAGAATTCGTGGGCTTTCCTTAATGATTAAAAAGAACAATCATTCTCAAATACTTAATCCCATAGGATAAAGTCATTGTTCTAGATAAAATCCATTTGATTCTATAGAATTCGAACTTAACTTACCATGCATTTAATTCTCATTCAATACCACACCAATACACTTTCTCGTCCAATCAGCTTGCATCTTTCTAGCCTAATGGTATCAGATATTGTCTTCGTTACTGGTTCAAGTCTCGTTTGGGACATATGTGAAATTATAAGTAGTTTAAGAGTAGGTTATCTTTGTTGCTCTGAAGAAGAAGAAAAAAAATTAACTTCCATTATTTTTCATTTTCAGTTGGAACTTTTAGATTCAATACTCATTTTAATATAAATCATTTTGAAAAGTGCAAAGATTTTTCAAATTATTCTAGGAATATAAATCTTGTACTACACCATGACTTAAATTATTCAAAAAGCAGGATGCATAATCCCTTCTTAAACTTTTCTGAAATAAACTCATACAAAAAATAACCTTATGCAACACAAATGCAAGAACCAAAACGAAATTGCTGTTACAAACAAGGTAATTTTCACCTTAGTAATATCCGTTAATCTAGTATGCCAATCACAAAGACCATTAAGAGAAGAATGAATGAAATATGAACAAGTTCTTTTGACCATGCTATTAAGTATCACCTCACTTGCAAAATCTGCAATTTTCTCAAATTACTAAGCCCAAAATACTACATTCTGGAACCATTTTCTTACTCATACATTGAACCCTATAGAAAAAGGGGAAAAGGAATAGAAAAGGCATGACAAGACTTGTTGACCAGCGTGTTGACCCCATAACTCACTGCAGAAGACACCATCAACATTACAAAAACAAATCAATAACAATAGAATTGGACAAGAATGCAACTCACTTTGTTATGATCAATTTGATGAACATAACACATTTAGTGTTGTTTTCCTTCATCTTTCTCCTCATCGGTATCCGAGTCACTAGCATTGTAACCTATCAAAAACATTAACATAAAGGGTATTGACATTTGATAGCATCAGTCAAAAAAGGTACATTCGATGCCTTTAGATAAACAAGAAATAGAAAAAAAATGAGTATGAGCATTAAGCAATAAGCACCTGGGTGTTTATCACCAACTTTCCATACAGAGCTTCGACTCCTGGAAGCCCTACTAATCCAAGCTTGTCCCTGACATACAAATCATCAAAACTAATTTATTTTCCAAAGATTAATAAAGATTCATGGAAATGTATACAGGTTACAGTGGCATTCAAAAGATAATGTATCAAACACTGAGATTTTTTTTAATAAAATGCAGTCTTGATCAATGGGATTCATAAAGATTTTAGAAATAAAGAGATGATAGTTAGGTTACTCTCTTTAATGGTGTTGTGTTAGATGAGATTCTAGTTTGGGGGAAAAAGGGCTTGGCAAAATAAATTCCATTTATGAAAAAAGTGAAGTATAGAATTAGTGAGGAAAATGGTCGAACACCTTCTGTGCATTTTTAACCACACCGTAACCGCTGCAATACATCTGACCCACCAACACCTGCATGCCGGTGTCACCGGCTTTTGCTTCCTTAAGGGCGTCCTGGAACCACCGTCTTGAGCACTCCAAGACTACCTCCCCCAGCGGAATTCGGCGGTTCATCGACGAATTCTCCTCCATTATCTTTATTCTCTGTTGTTGCCTCTCCGATTGAACAATCCGAATCCCCTTCGGTTTGGCGGGTTCCGGAGGAGGCACAACCCGGGACTTGTTAGAAACAAGTTTAGGGCCTCGTTTGGATTGTTGTTGGATCCTATCGGATGTTATAATCCTGGCGAAATCTTGAAACCTTGATGAAGATGGAACCGGTTTTCCCATAAACGAAAAATAAGAAACTGACTTCAAGGAATTTATTTTCCAATTTTCCAGAGTAGATTTTGCAAATGAGTTTCGTGAACCCTTTCCGACAAACTTCCCCCTTTCCCTTATTCGTGTTGTTATCTGAGATCCAGGGCTGGGTAAACATTTAGAAGACCATTTCATTTCCACGATATCTATTTTATCGTTATCTCTGCGACTAAACAATAAATTACGTTTTGTATTATATTGTGGGTTAATGCTACAAAACCTATTATTTTGTACCGTTTTAATTAAAACTTTTTTTTTATATGTAATTAATATTTTGTACCGTTTTAATTAAAACTTTTTTTTATATGTAATTAATATATATATATATATATATATATATATATATATATATATATATATATATATTAAAAATGTCCTAAGTTAGCAACAGTGAACTTGCTTGAGTTTGGCCAAATTTAATCCACAACCTTTACATATTTTCCATTGTTGCCCTTCTTCAAGCATTGCCAAATTTGATCCAAAACCTTTACATATTTTCCATTGTTGCCCTTCTTTTAATAGAGTTTTCATATTTCACTGATCAATGAGTTTCATTGACTTCTACTATAACTACAACGTTCCACCCCCTTTGCTATCCAATGGGATGCTTACACAACTGCTTCCACCGCCTCAATTTAGATAGCTTTTCCCCCACCCGTGTCTTCCTTCGGTTTCCTAACCATTCTTTATTCATTCATCACAATGGTTATCAGTTTCTCTGGAAAGCTCCTCCACCGTCATCATCTACTGGCCTCCGTACTATTATCTCTGTTTTCCCTTTAATTGTTCTTCTTGCCCGAAGTAAACCCTCACCATCTTCATCCATCGGTGGTTGTCGCTTACAGTGATGGTTGACCCACATCTGTTGGCGATTCCTCCTAATCGTCCACTGCCCTAGACGGCGTCGTTCAACACCGTCGCACCCCTGCTTTGCCTTCTCTGCCACCAACATGCCTGGATTTCCATCGTCGGCCCACCGACGCCTCCTCGGCTTCTCCTTCTTCACCGCCTTTGATTGTCCAAACCTAACCGGTGTGCATGTATGTGTTAATTTTTCTTAATCTTTGTATTCGAACGTCACCACAATCTACGGCAGTAGTCATCGCCTGCAGAAATCATAGTCATTGTCTGCGTCACAGTCTTTTATATCATGGTTTCATTGGCCATATAGGAGTATATAAGAAAAGTGGTTGGAGATCCAGCGGAGGATGACCATTCTCAACGTAGTTCATGGCTCTCTACAATCGAATTTCTATATGCTGATGGTAGTAACGTTCGATTACGTTCATTTTTCTATTATTAAACTTGCTAAATTGTTGATATTTGATGCTTATTTATATGTGTTTACTCAATTCTCGCCACCAACATCGACGACCATCACCCATGCCATCACTGGTGCCGGAGGGGTCTACCACCGCCGACGGAGATGTGGCTTGAGGAAGTGTTCTAAAGCGTACTTTTCTACCATAGATCGTCCCCGCCAATCGAAATCATTGTCGTCACCACCAACAATCGAAATCAGCTTCGGGGTTGCTTCTGGCTCCTTGACGAACACACAAGTCTCATTTCGTTTCCTTTTACTTACTTTCTCATTAGAAAGACAGCTGGTATCTTATCTACCTTATCTACCACTTTTGTTATAGAAAGCTTATTGGCTCCGGTTTTACCCTTTCATCATTTATAGGAGATGGAGACAGAGAAGCAAACATGATATGTTCTTCACCACCAAACAAGCACTTTCAGTTTGTTTTCTTAAAAGAGAGTAGGATTTAGGGCTTTTCAAGAGAAAGCCGACAAGCCACAAAGTCTGTAACTTAAAGTCTTTAGTTTTCTGTAATTTCTTAAGTTTATTTCGTTGTTTATTGTAGATGGTCTTTCAAACTTTTGGGTTGACGCTATTTTTTTTCTGAATCAAAAGTAATGACAACACCAATCCCAGCAAAAACCAGTTTTCTGGTTTTGATTTGGCCTGTTTGGATTCTGTTACAAGGTATTTCTCAATTTCTTTGCTTCTTTATTCTTATTTGTTTCTAATGCATGCAAAATGTTTGTGGAAATGCCGAAGTGAAACTAATATCAGATTATGCAGTTCCCATCTGCTTTAATATTACTGCAAAAACTGTTTTTCTATTGAAAAATGAGATTTTTGATATGTTCATCTGGTGGTGCTTGACGACTTAAGTAGCCTGGCGATTTTGATAACTAAATGAAAAAATGAATTTTTTAATATTTTCATCTACATTCCAAATCAAAATTTACCTGCAGGTTGTCATATTTATTCCAGTGAAGTATAACAACGGTTTAATATTCTGTTGGAATGAAAAATTCTCTTTACAAAATGGAATGAGTCATTTGTGAAATAATGGGCTCATTTCATTGGATTGATTCTAGCTGGTGTTTTTAGGTAATTTTATAAAATTATGAAATAAATAACAAATATTCATAAAAAATTCATATAAAGGGAAACATTGATCTTTATTTCCAAGTTGCAACAGTAGGCAAGTTATTTTAGTTAGTTATTTTCATTGCAGAGTTTGTTTGATGCATAAATCCATTTTTAACAGAAGGATAAAATGGTCCAATTAATAGTATTTGGTCCTAAGTTCAACCGTAGAAAAATGGAAGTTATTTGATATTCAGTGAGTTTTGACAAATTTTCATAATCTAAAAATATGGTAAACTTGATAACCCATGTTGGCCTTGAATTGGTTACGTGGATGAGCAAGAAAATTGAAAAATGTGAAAAAGAAATTTGAATGATTTCTTGATCAAGTCAGGCTTCAAGGGACGTGGAAATTGCATTATTAAAGAAATTAAACAAATCCATGGAGTATGCATCCGACGAATATGGGTATGTGGCTGCTTCTCTTTTAACAACTTTTATTTTTTTAATAAATCCTGTTTACATGCTACAGTGCCAATTCCATTAAGCATTTTGTCTCTCTGATCTGTGGAGGAGGAAGAATTTCTTATGAATGTCACATCAAGGAAGAATACGTAAAACCTGATTAAGATGATTGTATATCATTGATAAGGGTTAAAATTTATAACTTCAAAGTTAATAAATGTTGAATGTTCTTATATGTATTTTGACATGTCTTTACAACTGATTTGCTTTTGATTTTATTTTTTTTATGTTTAATCTTGAAGGATGCTTCGAAAAGCTATTTGAAGCTTTTATATCTAACTGCTGATAATGGCAATGGTGAAGGAATTCAAAGGTTATTTTCTACATTTTTATTGTGTTGTAACATATTTAGAAAAAAATACCAACTTTATCTTAATATAATTGTTTAGTAATCGAAACCTTTCTATGATTTTGGATGCACTTCTGAAAGGAGTCATGAACAAACAAGAATACCTAATTCCTTAACAAGAATCGTAATGTTTTTTTAAATACAGATGGTTATGTGATCCTTATTAACGATTACAATCCTTATTATTTTGTTTTGTTTTTATTTATTGAATTTACAGATTTACAAATGTTACACAACCTAATGAGACATTACAGATAGGAGTTCATTAAGATTCCAACATTGCGAAAGCTTCTCAAGGTAACTATTAGAAAGTGTGAGAAAGTTAATATCATACACAAATTGTTAAATCACCATATTATCCATCGCAGGTCTCGGAGTTTCTAGCTGAAGGAAAGATTCTTACACTGGAAAATATCTTAAAACCTTCTCCTAATAGGCCATAAGGTTTGAACAACAAATTATGAACACACTTACTTTTTCTATTAAAATATAAAATATTTTATAGTTTTGCTTCCTTCGATAATGAAACTCCTGTTGGCTTCTTTTTCATCCAAGGAATAGATTTTGTCATTGACAGATCATACGGACAAACAGGTTGATTTTAAAATGTTGACTCCAAAATAGCAATAAACTTTTGTATATCTGTGTATTAAGGGTTTTTTTTTTCACAACCTGTTTTATTGATTGTCCAATAGGTCCATCAAATTACCCGAAATCCCCGTGACCAGTGGATTCGATGATAGTAATTCTTCATTGTGAAGTGCACTCTTGGTGAAGAAAAAATGCACATTGATACGTCGCCTGAACATGGCAGCCTAATCGATACATACACAAATAGCACATTCTGTTTCTTTGAAATAGAAGTTATAGGCATGCCTAACTATTTGTGTGTGTTGGCCTTTTCTCTTTAAGTTTTTTTGTGCTTCTTCTTAATTTATCGGTTTGGGTTGAATTGTTTCCGACATAATTATGAAAGAGGAAAAGCACTTCCAATGGATAAACTCCAGAAAAACTAAAAGCAACTAGATCCTTGCTTATAAAAAATGTTTGAAGCTATTTGCGTATTTTACCATTTGTTTTCTTTTTTGATAAGTTGTTATGATAAACAAAATCAATTTAACTATTTTCTCTTTCTTGCATTTTATATTTAAACTAATTTTAGCATTGTTTGAGGTTTTTTAAATAAATTGTAGGTAAAAATTAAATCGGGTATCAGGTTTGATTCCGATGCACTGCTTATCAGTGTTACGAAACAACAATGTTAAATAGACGAATTGAAGAGATAAGCAACATACTTCTCAAACCAATACCTTCCGACCCCCGCAACGCGGGGGAAACCTTTCTAGTTATATTTTAAAAACATTTTATTTTGGGTCTTGGCCGGTCACCGACAGTTTTTGATGACGAGTTAGTTTGACTGATATATATATATATATATATATATATATATATATATATATATATATATATATATATATATATATATATATATATATATATTTGTCGTTTTGTATTTAGCCGAATATTTACGTCTCAATTTCTGTTTTGCCACGACATTTTTTTGTTTCCAATTTGCTACTATTTATTTGGATTTTTTTTTTCATTTTTAGTCATTAGCCACTTATCTGTTGGTATGTTCAAACATAATTGCTTAAAATGGAAAAGAAAGATGTGCTATTCGCGACTTCTTTTTGAAGGACACGGCGTGTGCGTGTTTGTCGGTGAGCCAAATGACTCTTTTTGTTATGACATAAAAACCTATTAGTTGTTAGATTTGTGTAATATACGGGTTGATTAAAACAAAATTTTAAATACAAAATATTAAACATGAATTTTATTTGAATTTGAAATTTGAAATAAGTGAAAATTATGAGAAAG